TTGAACAATGGTTAAGGGTTCATCACAGTATCCAGCCCGTTGGAGCCCTGACCACAAGTGTTGTCATACTCTTCCTGGGAGGACTGGAGGAAGTCCTCCCCACAAAGTTTATGAATGCTCCAAGTAATCCCCTTAAGTCTGTTAAAAGACTACAGTAAGATCTGGAAAAGTCATGCTAAGCTGAGGCTTGTTCACAACAGGTAAAAAGCCAAAACCCTGATGCTGCAAGCTATCTATTGTTTCTGAAGAAACAATGAAGTATCCCAATCAGTATATCTGCTATACAAAGGAATTTAAAGCTGGCTCCCAAGTGTCTGGTTACCCCTTAAAAACTTATGTTTTTCCTGGTGGTCAATCAGTTTCTTGAGATGTCCCAAACCAGATAACCACTTCTCAATAGAAAAGACAATTATGTACACTATTAAGAATGATTGGAAGAAGCTGAACGGAGGATATAAAAATATGTGTAAAAAAAAAAAAAAGCAGCAAAATGTGCGTGCGCTTCAAGAGGAGAAGTCTCTCTGACACCATGCACTGTTGTTCCCGAGAAGCTGGCAGAAACAGACCGTCTCCCTTCAAGGATCATGCTAAGAACTTTACCTGTCAGCGCTGAAACCCGAGTGCCTTGGACTGGTGAGATCCCAGCTCTCGCTCTCTCTCTCTTTTCTCTCTAGGCATAATTTTCTGAACCTGAACTGTACTAGTTAAGCTTGAGCTAATTTTCCCCACATACTTAGTGAAACCAGGGTAGTATTGTCATTGTTTCTGTTTGTTTTTCTTTGCTTAGCTATTACTTCTAGTACCATTATACATTGCATATACTTAGCAATAAATAACTGTTATAGTCAACCTGGTAGTAACTGGGTATATTTTTCCTTCTCTACTTCTCCTTCCCCACTTGCTCTGCAGCAACGCTTCTTTTACCTAGGATAAAGATCCCTGTGAAGCCCAGAAATACTGTGGGGTCTGCTCATCAAGAGGCTAAAGATTGGGACGTGCTGAGCTTGAAACACATAAGGGGATCAGCTTGTACAGGCTGATTGACCCAGTTTGGCTCAGACGGGCCCCAATGGACTGAATGCTGGCCTACGAGGGTGTCAGCTGGACACCCAGCCGGATTCAGAGGGAGTCTGTTTACCTGTCTACTTGTGTCTGACTGCAGTTTATTGTTGCTCTGATGAACTGATTCTTGGCACATGAGGGTGTCAGCCTGCCCGTGCTGATCAACCCAGCTGGGTCAGGTGTGTCACATTAATCTGTGTGTGTTTGTGGGTGTATGACTGATTTGGTGACTGGAGAAACCCAGCTCCATTGAAACTGAGTCCTGCAAGATAGCTCTACTGGGGGTGAGGACTGGCAGAAGGGAGAGATACAGCTCCGTATAGAAACACAAGTAACACATTGATAGAATTACAAAGACCCTAGAAATGTGTCCCTAATAAATGAGCACACCCCAAGGTGATGGACAAATCTGGTAACACTACAAGGTGGGGACAACATAGAAATGGGCCCGGGGACTGTGCAGCTGCTATCTGGAAAAGGAAACGCCTTCACAATCAGATCACTTCCTAACATCTCCAAATCATCACCATTCATCGGAACAGTGTGGAACATCCTCACAAAACCTCACACATATTTCATTATGTCTTACAATGCTATCTTATTAGACATACAACTGATGTTTTCATACACAGACTAATTAGCCTCGATTAAACAGGTTTTCAAGCAGGTTATTAGTTTCGCGTAAATTCCTGGGCAGCCCACAGTTCATTACGAGTTGAATACTTACTGGACCCTAAGCATAGATAGTAACATGGAGTACTAGTACTGCACTTTAAATCTTCCAAGTGCTGTTGCAAACATGAATGAATTAAAATACTGTTAACTCAGAAATTTTCCCCCTTAAACAGAGATCTGTGTTGGCTTCATCTCACACCAGGGGGCGAAAAAAGGAACCAGATCTGAATGCAAAGTCTGAAGACTTATGGTTATGAGTTGTGTTTCTCAAGGGATAAACAGGTTCAAGGCTGAGGTGAGAAACTGCTGCGTAGTTAGGAGGTGACTTAGGGAAGTAGCATGGATGAGTCAATGAGATGCTCTTCCTTCCGAGTTGGAAAAAAAATCAGGGCACTGCTGGAGCGACCACAGCTCTGGGACAGGTCTGAATGCAAAGTCTGAAGACTTATGGTTATGAGTTGTGTTTCTCAAGGGATAAACAGGTTCAAGGCTGAGGTGAGAAACTGCTGCGTAGTTAGGAGGTGACTTAGGGAAGTAGCATGGATGAGTCAATGAGATGCTCTTCCTTCCGAGTTGGAAAAAAAATCAGGGCACTGCTGGAGCGACCACAGCTCTGGGACAGGATAAGAGACCAGGCTCTGGCCACTTGCATTCATGAAGAAGCTTCCAGTGCTGCTTTTTGGTGGTGTAAGAGTACTGAAGGCCAGGGTCCATCTGCAGCCATTGTGTTCTGCTGACCGAAATTCCTCTGGAGTCCAAAGGGACGTTAGGGAAAATGCCTGAAGAGTCTGGAAAAAGAGGAGAAGAGGAGTCAGCCCTATCTTAACCACCTCTGGCTGGTGGCCACTAGCTCATCTTAAAGCCACTGAAATTGTGGCGGCTTCCCACTGTGGACTCCAGGGAGTAAAACGGTTTTACGATTGACAAGAATCACGTCTATCTAATGGGAAGAACACTCCACCAGCTTTCCTTGAAGCCTCATCTTTTGCAGGCTCGCTTCATGCTCCTTCCTTTTCACACACAGACAGTTTGATGACTCTGAAACTCATGCTAAGCTTGGCCCTACTCACAAAAGTGAAAATGCAGAATAATAATGCTAACTGCATATTTCAAGAGGATGTGATTTTATGGCTAGGCCATCTAAGAAAGAATAATGACTTATCTCTTCCATCTTATCTTGCTGAAGTCAGAATGATTTCAAGCACACTCCTAGGTGTCTAGTGTATATCCATATGAACTGTCTATCCTTGATTAATTAGTATGGTAAGTATTTCTTTTGTGACTAACTCATGTTTATGTGCAGGAAGAGACATTCTCCATACGTAATAGATGTCTCCTCCTCCTTTAGTGTGTTTTTCCTGGCTGTTAATCAGTTTCTTGATATGTTTCAAACTGGATCACCTCTTGTTACTGAAAGAGGTAACTCATTCAAATTAAAAAATTCTGATAACCAGTGATGAGCAGATTTTTCCGGCCAGTTACTGCTTGGGATTCTGTCTTGATTTACACAACTAAAAGGATGCTTTGAAGATGCTGGACTAAGGGTATAAAAAGGCAGTAAA